ATACATAGATATGTTCTGAGATTCACAAAGAATCCTGCCATTTCTGGAGCATTGGGAAGTGGAAGTAAGAAAGAAAGAGGTTATAGAGTGATGAGAGAAGAAAGAACAAGAGTGGATCAGGTAGAGTTTTATAAGTAATTAGCAAAGGTTAAGCTTTAACTCTGATTGTCATGGAGAACTATTAGCAAGAATAGAAGGAAAGGTAAAATAGTCCTAAATATATATATATTTGTTTTGTTTTTTTCAGGGAAGAAGGGTGTCAGGGATTGAACTCAGGAGCACTCAGCCACTGAGCCACACCTCCAGTCCTATTTTGTATCCTATTTAGAGACAGGGTCTCACTGAGTTGCTTAGAGCTTTGCTTTTGCTGAGGCTGGCTTCAAACTCAAGACCTCCTGTTTCAACCTCCCTTGCCACTGGAATTACAGGCATGCACCACTACACCTGACCTGATTAATATTTTTAAAGGTTACACTGACCAGTCTGAGAGGGAGATGGCAGAAGCTAAGTGACTGGTTAGAAAGATACTGAAGCAATCTACTAGAGAATCTGGTCTCAATTAAGGTGGCTAGAAGCAGTCCAGTTTTTAAAGAGGCTTGAATATTGATTCCAAAATATTTTGCCATAATTTAATGTACAGTATGAGAAAAAAGAGGTCTGGATTATTATGTTAACAACCAAAATAATCGACTTTTCATTAACTTAATTACAAAAATTATGTTTGAAGAAGGTTTAGCAGTTCGTGCAAGACGAGGAGTTTGGTTTGGGCTCTGTTAATTCTGAAATATTTGTTATATATTTCAGGGATATGTTAATTATGAGACACCTACTCTGTCTCAGGAAAATGCTAAATGAGTTGGTGTATATGAACTTAGGTAYGCACTCCAGCAGATAAAAACCCGACAGTTCATTGCAGGCAGATGTTATTAGAAGCTGTATAGTGATTGAGGTATTTCTCTGAGTGGCTTCCAATAGAAAAAGATCCTGGGCACTCCCACAGAAAGAAAGACAAAGTGGCAAAAGAGATAAAGTAACTAGTGAGATCAAAAGAAAGCCAAAAGTAAGAGGGATCGTAAAAGAAAATGTATTATGAACAATGAAATAAAAAATGAAAAACAAAGCAAGCTGAGGATTTGAAAAGGACCATCCAATTTTGTAGCATGGAGTCCTACAGTGGCCATCATGAGAAACAATTTGATAGAGTCTTAGAGGGAAGGTTGATTGGAGTTTATTTCAGAGAATGTGAGGAGAGAAATCTGAAGCAACACAGTGAGAAAACATGATATTTTTTTCCAGGAGTTTTGCTTCAAATTGAAGCAAAATTAAACAAAGAGATAGCAGATGGGGAAAATTGGGTCAAAGTGTATTTTTTTCTTACTTTTGTAAATGCGTAAACTTATAGTGAACGAAAAGAGGTTTATTATGATGATAGGAAAGGACTTAAAGGAATAATTTAGTAATATGAAAGAGGTGAGAGTTGCTAGAGAGATATTTTGGTAGGGAGAGGGTATAAGTGCTGTGAGCTTAATTGGCTTTAGAGAGAGAAGCTGTCTGATTATATGGACACAGTTTCAGTAGGCAGGTGAATGTGATGATAGGATTTAAGCTGAATTCTACTCAGTTGTCTTCAGTTTTTACAAAGAATCAAGTCATTAATAAAAATGATGTTATGGAAAAGGCATTTGAGGCTTAAGAAGGAAAGAGATGAAGTAAAATTGCCACTTAAGAGATTAGGAGAATAAGTGGCATAAGGAATTAATTCATGAAAGTGAACAACCTCAAGAGTTTGCTTGATGTTTATAATTGTGACTATAAAATGAGGCTACTTATCATAGTTGCATATTTCTCTCCATCCACATTTATCTGGATTGATACAAACATGAAATAAGTGGAAAGATTGATCTAGATGGTAAATGCTTTTGTAAAGAAGTAGAAAAATGCAATAGATGGGTAAGAATGTAGAGTGTATGGAAAAGTTGTGWTTTTAATGCCTGATTATGAACTTAATTTAGGTTATCAAGAAAGAGAACTCGAGGAAATAAGGGAAGCAAAAATATTTAATTTGGAATTGAAAAGACTTTTAAAATATTTAGATGGATTGATAAAGAATGTAGTGATGAGAAAATAGGTATATCAAAACCTAAAAAGATTATGAAGGRTTTGATATTATATGTAATGACAATCTCTAGAGTATGCTGATAAAAGTGACTGAGAAAGACTAACAAATGAAATAAGTAGCGGAAGGAATTCAACAGACTAAAAGGCCAGGTGTTATGAAAAGAAACTGCTGTAAAATCAATGGTAAAACTCACTGAGCATTGAAGAGCCTGTGAGTTTGGCTATTAAATGATAATAGAATAGTAGCAATGGAGTGAAGAAGATATTAGAATGAAGGAGTGGTGGGGGTGATCTGAAATCTGGCAGTTTCCTTTGAGCATTGATTAAAACATAAGTCCTGACTGACTCAAGGCAAATAAAAATGCACTGTGGTTAGTCAACATTTGGAATGTCTGGAACTCTCTCCTGACTCCTCTCAATGGAAAGTAGGAATCCTGAGGTTACAGAGTTCCATGTTCTCCTTGGGTGCCCATAAGTTGAGGAGTGATCTTATCCAAGTGTGTATGCACTTCTGGACCCCTCTTGGTGTGGATGAGCAATGTGGGATTAAATCTGGTAATCTATCAAACCAGACATCATAAGGACTTTGCAGTGCAGAGGCCTGCAGCTTATGCAGAGCTCACCCGACTAGCAGAAACATATAATCAAATTTCATTTCAAACTCTCTTTTGTTATATTATAAAACAAAATAAGAATTTATTTAATTTTTGTCAAATATCAACTAGCTACCTATTAGAGGATAGATTGGAGCCAAAAAGGAAGAGAGACAGTGGAGAGATCATTGCATTTTCTGAATGATGGCTTAGATTATTATGCTAAAATGAAAATAGAAAACAATCGGTTAATTATTTATATGGGTATTTCTTTTTTCTATAGTAGAGCAGGATTCAATAAATGGTCATGCAAACTCAAACTGTACATATTGATGTTACGGTTAATAGGATAATTTATCATTACTCTACAAAACTTTAAAAGTGTTCATCAAAACAAACATTCTCATACCATCAGTTACAAATGTAAAGAGAAGAAAATAACAAAACTAACACACYCACATATACACAGAGTAATTTAAAACAYTAGAAACATTGAAAATATTTATCAAAGATAGTTTGTCTTTGCATGGTATGACTTTTGATACTGAAGAAATATCTACTATAAATCTCCTTAAATTATCATATTCTCTTCTAAATTTGGATCAGCATGCAACATTTTATCCTTTGCACGTTGCTGTCATGAATCATCCTTTAGAGTTTTTCTAATGTGTAGTTAGTTTACTGGTGCCACTTCTTCTGGGATATCTTTATCTTTTTTTTTTTTTTAAATCACAGCCACTTTCCTCATGTCAACAAATTTACCTACACTAAGTTCCTCTGGCTGCACATCCAAAATCTCTCTGACAGTGCAATGTCAACATTCCACATCAGCTATCTCTTCYATAATTTGTTATGTTATATTTAATTTTACATTCAGCACTACCGCTTTACATTTCTTTGCTTTATTTCCCTTTTTTTGACAATTCCCCTTTTCCATTATCAATTAAAATTTTATCACATAGGTTTACTAGTAGGAGCCAAGGAGGCAACACAACTGTATGCTTTGCTGTTTGGGTGTGAACTAAATAACAAATGGCACTGACTGCTCACTGACATTAAAAGATGTTTTATGATTAGTCGCTCAATGTGAGGCACATCTGTGATTTATGTAGCAATTTATGGACTAAAAAGCTAGCAGCAAAATTTATAAAATTACTCAAAGTTAATAAGCCATGGTAAGTAAGTTCATGCATATCAGAACAATGCACTTCAGAGAATGTCTAGACATGCATGTCTGAGTGTGTTAGTGTGAGTCTTGTTCATATTTTATAGCTTCTACTGTTGTTAAAACCAGTAATATAACTGAAATTGAAAAGTCTGGACAAAATTGGGATTAAAATATAAAATTCTGTCTGGGGATAGAAAAAATAATAAACAATAGTAGAAATACTGAGATCACAATAAAAGTCTGGATGTCTAAAAATGTTRAGTCTGAACAACTAAAATTAACACAAATACAAGTTTCCTGAGAAGAGAGTGGAAACAGAAGAAGGTCAGACGTGAATGTAAGAAACTGAAAATATTAGAATTCTATTTAAGGAGCAGATGCTAGCGAAGAAGCTGAGAGGTATTAGTCAAGGAGACAGGAGAATAAACAAGGSGAAGAATATTTTAAGAAATCACAAAAATAAATGAGGCAGAGTTCCTTCTCTTAAGATGCTCTAGTGGGGATGACATTCATACACATATACACAGTTCTTATAGTTTTGATAACAGGATTATATTCTAACTATCAGTCCATAACAAACTAACATGATTGAATTTTTTGTAGTTCTCACTCAAAGATCACCAGGTATTGATGCTGGATATTATGTTCAACTATGAGACACTGTGTAGAGGGACTGAAATCTGTGTGCAAAAATACACACAAAAAAAAAAACAGGAACACTTTAAAGAAATAAATCTATGACAATATATAGTATGTACATCATATTTTAAATATCAGAAAAGTTTTTGAAAACCTATAGGAGCTATAAGCACAGAAACACATTTTTATTGCATACTATATTGAAGTCAGATTAGCTTATAAGTATCATTTTATTCATTCTGTCTCCAATTTCTAAATCTCCAATAGACACATACACAAGTGTATGTATGTGTATCCCACCACATACCATGAAACTAAGTAGCATTATGGGCATCTGGTAAARTTTAGTTCTATTCCTCCAATATGTTTATTTTGTTTTGGAGGTTTTCTTAGTTGGGCATGTTCTGTGATTGCTGTAACCATTTTAGAATCCATTTCAGCACATAAGAAATATAGAAGAAGAAAAAGTCTCAACTCCCCCTCATATGTTAGGGGGTTAATTTATTTTATAGGTCATAATCATAGGTAAGCTATACAGAAACTGGCTTTGGTCAGGATCCTGACTAACTCATAAGCAAGGGAGATGAGGTGTGTGTTTTTAAAGATCTATGTTTGGAGAAGAGCCGTGACCTCACACGCATGATTGCTTCACCATGGGAGAGAGGTGGAATGCATGTTAAATTAATTATTCCACAACATTCTCTGTAATTGAGCATATGGCTGTACCTCAAGCCATACCATTAATTACCTCATGATGAAATGCTGGAACAGAGTGCCTCTTATAAAATGGTCGTGTGTGTCTTAAGCATCTCTCTAGTGTTTTCTTGAATCAAACTCCTTTTAGCTACATTCACAATAGGACTTTAATTCTTCCAACCCCTTCTTATGTTCATCTCTTCACATATTSTCATTTGTTCCATTCACCTGTAAAAACAAATTTTCTTTTTTGTCATTTCCTCTAAACAAACTCATACCYCACACCCAGCTACTTAAGTTTCTCTCTCATTGTAATTTACATATCTCCTCCAAAGAAGTTATGGAAAACAATTATGCAGCCATTTGATGGATATTTGYATAACCTGATTTATTTTAAGCCTCTTGAGGGCAAGGAATTTTCTCTATGTTCAGTTCTGTGTGCTCCTTTCTGTAAGAGGATGGTTGTGACATACATTTGTGGAATGGAGGAAAAAGGGAAGGCAGGGAGGGAGAGAAAGAAAGCAACATTGGTATGCCATCCTACTGATCCTACTGCCTTCAGGGATGGTGAGAAGATCACCCTTAAAATGGCAACACACTAAACAAAGATGTTAGATTATTCTGCCATATGTCCTCATAGTACCCCATTCTACACAATCTCCTCCAGTACATTGCATGTTCATGCAAAAATAAATTAGCTCAGTGTCATTTACCAATTTATTTCATCATGTCTGACAAAAAATAAATAAATAAATATGGTGAATTCATTTGAATTAGTAATAAAGTATGATTTATAATCTTTTGTTAACTAGGTGATTAAACTGCCTCCTCTGAAATGAAATTCTCAGTTAAATATTATTATTCGGCCTCTTAATCACATGGGCTCTCATGGTTTATATTGGTTGATTGAATAAATGATGGGTGCTATGCATTCATTCATTGCTACTGCCAAAGGCATCAAACCGCCCTTTTACCCACTGTTTATTTGCTTTTCGAAGCTTCAGAAAGAATTACGTACAGAATAGTTTAATCAAGTTTCCACATAAGAAAATGGAAACTTAATTTGGCATCTATGTGCATATAAACAAGTAGGTTCTTTTAATCTACTTTTCCTTCATCTGACATATAAACTTTGATAAATGGAGCAGTAATTTCACGAGATTATGACATTCATTATCCTTTTTGCTTATCTTTCATAGCAGGCTTTTTTCCTTTTTCAAGAGATTTTCCTTGTGGCAAGCCTGTTTATTTCTCACAGAGTTCTTTTAAAGCAAATGTCATGTGGGGATAGCACCAGGTTACCTTAAAGCAAGGCTTTTTTTAAAACCACAACTTTATTTTATGGAGTGCTTTTTGCAGCAAAGCCATCCCCAAGCACTGTCAAAATTGGAAACAAAACAGAAGTCACACAGTCAGAAAAATCAATGATATTTCAAATAATCCAAGATTAAATCAAATCAAACTAGCTTTAAGCTTAAACTCTAAAGTGGGCAGGAGTTGGCTCACCTAAGAAGCCCATAAAGACCAAATACTACATTTGGGTTGTAATGGGACATATCCTTTGGGTAATTAATAATGATTTATCTGAAGCCCAGTAAACATGTAGAATCAACTCACAGAGTAAATGTTGAAAAAAATACTAGACCAAACTAACAATTTCAATTAGAAACAATATAGAATCTAAATACGTTTGACAAACAGCTACATCAAGAACCATGCTATTGAAGAGAGAATTAAACAGATTACCTCAGTCATAAAAGAACTTCTGCTTTCATCACTGAAAACAGATTTCTTCTTCACATGATGCAAAAAAAGAGACAAAAAAGAAGAATATTACTGAAAGTTACAGATTTGTTTATGTTGTATAGAACTCTCTGAAATCATAAGCTAGAGATTTTTAGTATTCATTTTATCCTYTTATAATTAAGAGGAATTTTAAAAATACATATTGGCAATATGCACTGAAACTTTTTAACTTTATAACTAGTCAAGCATTTGATTTTTTTTAAAGAGAGAGTGAGAGAGGAGAGAGAGAGAGAATTTTTAATATTTATTTTTTAGTTCTCAGCGGACACAACATCTTTGTTGGTATGTGGTGCTGAGGATCGAACCCGGGCCGCAGGCATACCAGGCGAGCGCGCTACCGCTTGAGCCACATCCCCAGCCCGCATTTGATCTTCTTTAAATCACTATAGGTCATTGGTAATTTAATTTTAAAACAAGTATACTATGTAGCAACAAGTTTTAATGGACAAAGACCTTGTTTATAATAGAATTTTCTATAACATGATACAACAACTGATAACTTATTTCATATAAGTTAATATAAAAAAAATCTATGGAAACATAAATGAGAATATTTTCATATCATTTAATGCCAGTATCGATAATTCTGTATTTTTCATATCTCTATTTATTAATATTTTCTCTTGAGGTAGGGTATTCTTTTCAGTTAAGACATGAATTTGTTGACTGAAATTACAAACTAAGTAACATCTTTATAGAGTAAATTTTGTAAGATAAAGACTTACTGTAACGAACAGCTATATATATATATATGTGTGTGTCAGGGTGAATAATGGCTGCCCCAAGATGTCCAAATCCTAGTCCTAGGTATCTATAAATATATTAATTTATGAACGTTTTAAGACTCTTCATTGGAGAAATTATTCTGGAGTATCCAGATAGATCCAATTTAATTACAAGTCTCCTTATAAGATGAGGGCGATTGTCAGAGATATAAATTGGATGATGCCATATTACTGGCTTTATTGGTGGTAGAAAGCACCTGGAACCAAGGAATGTAGATACCTGGCCTCTAAAAGTTTGAAAATACAAGGAATCAGATTGACCCTTCAATACCCCAGGAAAATGCAATTCTGCTTACAGTGAGTCTAGTTAAACTGATTTCATCTTTCTGACCTCCTGAATATAAAGGATTTATGTTGTTATTTAAATAATAACATTGTGGTAATTTTTTGTAGCTCCAATAGAAAATTACAACTATTGTTTAATAAAAGTAATATAGTACCAATGGCATGTTTGCTATATATTAGGCACTTCATTAAGCACTCTTCATGAGCTATCTTATTTCATCTATCCAATAATGCTGAGATACTTACTCATTAGTATTCATTTTTAACAGAAGCATGAGATATATCTTATTGAGGGAGAAATTGTATTTAATACCAGCAAAATTAATAAGTAAAGAGATGGGATTTATGCCCATAATAACCTAAATGTTTCCTGAAAAATAATTTAAAATTAGGAGAAAATTCTGATGTTCTCCTCTTATCCTAAATATGTGTAACTCTTTTATTAATTCTATAYATTTTTCTTAGAATTGTTGTGGTCAAAAATATGTCCTAACAAGGATTGCTTGATTACAGGGAACTGAATATAGCTCCCTTTTTAGAAAACACAATCCACAGGAGACAGTCAGACAGAGTGGGTATCTCAGAATTAATCATCCCTTCTTTTGTCAATGTTTGTCTTCTAGGCAAGTACCACATTGGAGCCATATAATGCCACACCCCTGGGTGTGGTTGACTGATTTAGTCATGGGAGTCTGTATCAAAACTATTCAGACAAATGCCCATTCTCTGGGAATTCAAATTGTTTTGGAAAATGATGCCCTTCATTTCTTCTGGGCCGAATGTTCCTGGTACATGGATAATCAGGGATACTTAGTAGTTTTCCCATAGGGACCAAAGAAATAGAGCAGGCTATTCTGCAAAAAGTTAAAAAAAAAGTATTGAATATATATAAATAAATAGTTTTGATAGGTGGAGAAAGCACTAAATTTTTACTAGGCCCTAGTTCCAGTATCTCTCTCTCTCTCTCTCTCTCTCTCTCTCTCTCTCTCTCTCTCTC